ACACACACACACACACACACACACACACACACACACACACACATATATATTAGTGTGTGTGTATGTGTGTGTGTGGTGGCTACACTGTTATTTTCCGTTACTAGTGAACAAATCTCAAGTATAGGGTTGGTAAGTAAACCTATAAGCTAATACTGATTTCAATGTGTCGTGATAATTCATATACGCGCAGACAAAGGCGAATATTGTTGAAGAACAAAGGCGACAAACGCCACTATTGTTATGATGATTATAGTACTATCGTTATGCCATTTGAAGCGTGTAATATAAAAACATGTCAATGCACTCACTAATTATTCTTTCTTACGCACAAATTCGCGCTTGTTTCTTTCGCCAGCTGAACGTGCCGCTAACGTGATTCGCCAGCTAACGTGAGCGCAGTAGATTGATTTTGCTCTTCTAAATTAAACAGCTAAACTCATCACGTAACTGTAAGTGCGTGCGCGTTTTGGATTAATTTTTGCGTATTTAATCGTGTCGTCATAATATTGCCTCTTACTGTAGTCGTCGCAGTGGTAACCTTCCCAGCCCTTAGGACACGTGCAGTAGTACTCGTGGTCACCATGGTGATCGTTGCCGTATTTGTGACAGACGCCTTTATTGTGGCACGGGTCGTCATAACACGGATCTAAATTAATAAATCGCAGCATCCTTATATAACATATGAAACAGTGGCGGTTATGGCAAGGAAAAATTCTCAGGAATTCCGTTTACGTAACAAATATTGTATTTAATAGTAGTAATGTTTCGAATTTAAATCTGCCGCAGTGAACACACACGAGCCCACTTTATCGTGAGTATCGATCCGTTTTCCCAGTTACTGTGAGCACGATAAATACGTCGCAAAACGCAGTAGTCAATCTACGTAACGAAGGCTTGCAGATGTTTAATTATCTATTATATCTTGTAATCTATACCGTGATGAATATATTACGATCGCGACTACTTCAACGTTGAAAGCGGTGACATGCTTAAAGTGCGCACATATATGCGTGTACTATGGCTGTAAAGGAAGGTGCGTGTGTGTGTGTGCGGTTTGGAGGGGTGGGGGTTAGTATACAATAGGGGTGATACAATAAAAACGAAATCCACTGAAGCTGTCAATCAAAATAAATCGTCAAAGAAGGAAATCACACAAGAGAGTTAATTATTGCGCATCTACGCAGTCACGCGACAACTATTTGGCGCTTGATCGATATACGGTTCTCGTGGAAGAGGTGCTATAATATTCATATATGAATTCATAGTATTACTGTGCGTATCACAGTGGTGTCCTTCCCACCCAGCCGCGCATTTACAGTAGTACTCCGTGTCCCCGTGATAGTCGTCCGGCTGCTTGTAGCATCCGCCTCCGTTGTAACAGGGATCGTCGTAACAAGGATCTGTATCGATACGATGAATTAAACAAGTGGCATGTTTCATATGGATTTGCGCTGAGAGGGGGGGGGGGTGTAGTTTGCGCGTAATGTTTCGTAATTGTGCGCGCGTAAATGTTGTGAATGGATTTAGCCATACCATCAAATGAAGATGTGACGCAAATGCGTACCTGCTAACTAATATCCCTTTCGGGAAAATATAGACATATCAGTGACGTAGCTACAAGAACATGTAGAAACACGTACCTGCTAACTAATATCCTTCTCGAAGAAATATAGACATATCAGTGACGTAGCTACAAGGTGGTACCTATAGCAATCCTACTTATACGTTTAGCGTCTAGAGTACCTTTCATCAGCATGTAATCAGTATTATAAGACTTACTGTGGTCGTCGCATTGGTAACCTTCCCATCCATCAGAACACGTGCAGTAGTATTCGTGGTCACCATGGTGATCGTGGTCGTGTCTGTGACACGCTCCTCCGTTGTGGCATGGGTCATCATAGCACGGATCTAAATTAATTAAGTTAATTATTAAATTAACTCCCTTCAGCTCCGTCAATCAGATAAACGTTGTGTTGAACTTCAAGGCAACGGCTTGGTACATTGATCACAGATTGGATATATTATATGTCTAAGGATTCACAATGTTCTTCGCCTGGTGGGAGTCAGACACACTTAGCTATATGCAGAGATTTACACCTCTGCTGAGTAAGTAATATCATAGTTTGTCCTACCTCCGCGTCGTTGAGAAAAATATACTTTATTTATTTATCGAAATCTATATTTAAAGGCTTACTGTGGTCGTCGCATTGGTAACCTTCCCATCCATCAGGACACGTGCAGTAGTATTCGTGGTCGTCATCGTGATCGTGGTCGAGTCTGTGACACGCGCCACCATTGTGGCATGGATCGTCATAGCACGGATCTAAATTAATAAATCATTTGTCTTAGAATGGCATTGATCAAATTTATTAATAATAGTCCATTTAGTTTCTTTAAAATGCATCAACCAGATTAATGCATTATAGCATATCGATGAAGGCAACAAAAACCTCATGGGATGATAATTAAGCTATTATCGAACGCACAGCTCCTAATATTATATGTCTATATAACATGTTAAACGTTATTTAACGAATATATCACCTAATCCGTTTGTACTTACTGTGGTCGTCGCAGTGGTAACCTTCCCAACCATCAGGACATGTGCAGTAGTATTCCTCGTCGTCATGGTGATCGTGGGCATTTCTGTGACAGATGCCTCCATTGTGGCATGGATCGTCATAGCACGGATCTATATTAATAAATCGCTTGTTTTAGATCAAAATTAATCAAATTGGCATTGGTCAAATTGATTAATAATAGTCAATTTAAATTATTTAAAATGCATCAACAAGATTAATGCACTGTAGCGTATTGAAGAAGGCAATAAAAACCTCATGAAGCTGATAGTCAAACTATTATCTTACTGTGGTCGTCGCAGTGGTAACCTTCCCAACCATCAGGACACGTGCAGTAATATTCCTCGTCGTCATGGTGATCGTGGGCATTTCTGTGACAGATGCCTCCATTGTGGCATGGATCGTCATAGCACGGATCTAAATTAATAAATAGTTTGTTTTAGATCAAAATTAATCAAATTGCCATTGGTCAAATTGATTAATAATAGTCCATTTAGATTATTTAAAATGCATCAACAAGATTGATGCACTGTAGCGTATTGAAGAAGCCAATAAAAACCTCATGAAGCTGATAGTCAAACTATTACTAGCTGCTGGTCGTCCGCAGTGGTAACTCTCCCATACCATCAAGGAGCACGTGCGTAATATTCCTCGTCGTCATGGTGATCGTGGCATTTCTGTTAGCAGATGCGCTCCATTGTGATGGATCGTCATAGCAGCGGATCTAAAAGTAATAAATCGGCTTGTTTTAGATGAAAATTAATCAAATTGGCATTGAATCAAATTTATAATAATAGTCAATTTAAATTAATTTAAAATGCCATTCAACAAGATTATTCATGAGCGTATTGAGAAGGCAATAAAAACTCATGAAGTGACTAGTCCAACTATGATCTACTGTGGTCGTCGCAGTGTACCTTCCACCTGCAGGACATGTGCAGTAGTATTCCTCGTCGTCATGGTGATCGTGGGCATTTCTGTTACAGATGCCTCCATTGTGGCACGGATCGTCATAGCACGGATCTAAATAATAAATCGTTTGTTTTAGATCAAAGAATTAATCAAATTGATTAATAATAGTCAATTTAAATTTAATAAAATGCATCACAAGATTAATTCACTGTAGACGTTGAAGAAGGCAATAAAACCTCATGATAGCTGATACGTTAAACTATTATCTTACTGTGGTCGTCGCAGTGGTAACCTTCCCAACCATCAGGACACGTGCAGTAATATTCCTCGTCGTCATGGTGATCGTGGGCATTTCTGTTACAGATGCCTCCATTGTGGCATGGATCGTCATAGCACGGATCTAAATTAATAAAATCATTTGTTTGAGCGCGGTCCTGTTAAAACTGGCAATAGTGCTAGATGTACTCAGCTTCTCTAAACTGCGGCTGCTAGGTTGGTGCACTGTCACATATCAACGAGGTTAACAAAAACCGCATAGTGGTGATAGCAATGCGATTATGGCACTATTCTCGCAATTTTATATGTTTATCTACAGCACTAAACATTGCTTATAAATATAGCACGTAATCAGTATTATAAGACTTACTGTGGTCGTCGCATTGGTAACCTTCCAACCATCAGGACATGTGCAGTAGTACTCGTGGTCACCATGGTGATCGTGCCGTATTTGTGACAGACGCCTCATTGTGGCATGGATCATCATAGCACGGATCTATAAGCATTGATAGGTAATAACAAACTCCTTCGATGGAGCAACACCCTCCAGCTATCTATTATCGACAGCTTCAGTGGATCATACACGTTTGTTCGTCATCTCGCGGCGGTGGGGGGAGGAAGGGAGAAGCGCTCGCACACTGCATACGCTGCGTGGCTCGCATGCAGCTTTACCTTACCGACGCAGGTTACTTACTGTGGTCGTCGCATTGGTAACCTTCCCATCCATCAGGACACGTGCAGTAGTAATCGTGGTCGCCATGGTGATCGTGGCCATATTTGTGGCAGCCGCCTCCATTGTGGCATGGATCGTCGTAACATGGATCTACACATTCGTCGCGAATTAACAAAACCGGAACCGTTTTTGCTCTAAACTCCTACTTTTTGTCACGCACGTATAGCCATAAAAACATTGCTCACGGACTTTATTCGAAGTCAATCATTCGATCGCTGCGTAACGTACCAGACATTTATACGAACATGCGAACACCAATTGTGCATTTATAGGCCGTGTTGTCCCGTCAAACTGTGATGTTTCAACTTACTGTGGTCATCGCATTGGTAACCTTCCCATCCATCAGCACACGTGCAGTAGTAATCGTGGTCGCCATGGTGATCGTCATCGTGTCCGTAACATGCTCCTCCGTTGTGGCATGGATCGTCATAACACGGATCTAAATTAATTAAGATAATATAGTAAAACCGCATGCGATATGATTATTTGCTGAGAGAGGGAACGTATCACTCTCCCTTCAGCTCCGTCAATCAGGTAAACGCTGCGTTGAATAACAAGGAAAGTGGCAACGGATAATGTAGGAAATGACCAACTTATGCCCCCGTTTACCGAGCGTACCCGATCGTTAGAAAAAATATCGTGCGTGCACTTAATCAGCTTGCATGCGTTGAATCTGTGAGCTTCTGTGAGCGATGCTTACTGTGCGTATCACAGTGGTGTCCTTCCCACCCAGCCGCGCATTTACAGTAGTACTCCGTGTCCCCGTGATAGTCGTCCGGCTGCTTGTAGCATCCGCCTCCGTTGTAACAGGGATCGTCGTAACAAGGGTCTGTATCGATACGACGAATTTAATGTATAACTGTATGGACTCCATTATAATAAAGAACCCTATAGCAATGAAGCCAGAGCCAAAAGTATGACTGCAAACTAGTTTTTTTCACAACTATGTTTCTATTCTATCTAATGCGCGTGCGCAGAATGCTGATGCACCCCAGGGCCGTACCAGAGGTTTGGCAGAGGGGGTTACAAAATGGCGATGCGAAGCTTCGCCCCGAGCCGCGAAGCGGTGAGTGGGGGGAGAGTCCGGCCATTTTTTGTTTTTTTTAACATGCTTAGATGTTATTTCCTGCATAGTTCACTTCAATTGTTGTTGAATTCATACAAAAACAGTGTATATCACCATAACAATATTAACATCAATAAAATAAAATGAGATTTGTAACAAACTCGTCTCTGGTGTTGGGAATTATGACTAATTATCTCCGTGGTGTGATCCATCCAATCTAGATACTATAGGATGATGACCTGTGACTCTGAAATTATAGTGTTAACTAAAACTGTTACAGTAGTAGAGTGTTTCAGTAGTTTACAAACCATCAATGAGTCTTTATCTTAAAAAAAGTTATAATTACATTTTAATGGTTACACAAAAAGTTAACTTTTACCCATTAAATTTGACTAGTTGACACCTGTTACAGGCCCGTAGCCAGCTTTATATTGGGGGGGGGGTTCGTTTTTCAATGTTGGCAATTTGCTCGGCAGGGGCGTGTACAGGATTTGTACCAGGGGGGGGGGTCGAACCGTAACCCAAAGTTGCGAGCACGCGAAGGGGGGGGGGGGGCCCTCCCCCAGAAATTTTTAAAATTAGACCCCCTCAGATGCGTTTTCTGCGCGAGCAAGGGGGGGGTCCGGACTCCCTGGACCCCCCCCCACCCTGTACACGCCCCTGCTCGGGCGCGAAGCGACCAGGCGAGGGAGCCAAGCGACCGAGCGGGGGGAGGGTATGGGAGGGGGGTGTTCACTGTTCACCCTCCCGCACGATGGAGATTTTGCAATTATTACACTAAAATGGAGCGACCTGAGGTGAAATTCTTGCAAATTTTCAAAAAAAAAAGTTTTTGCTTGGGGGGGCTCGGGTGGGGGGTTCGTTCGAACCCCCGAACCCCCCTGACTACGGCGCTGTGTTATACCCACTTAGTATCACAATACATTTATTTGTATAGATCCCAATGTAACCGAGTAAGACCCGAGTAAACAACTGTAGGTCCAAACATGTTACTAGGTTTAAACTAGTACTTTTTTTTTTTTTATCACCAAGGGGGTTACAGAAACCAAATAACCCCCCCTGGTACGGCCCTGCACCCCCCCCCCCCAACACACACACACACAACACACACACACACCACACACACACAACACACACACACACACACACACACACACACCTAACTGGGCGGTATAGACTCGTTTTCTTTTCATTGAGAATACGCACCATGAATTTCGCAGCGGATGCCGCTCCAGCTATCGTGGCAGACGCATGTGTAGCCGGACGGGTTTATAACGCTGTAGGCGTGGTTGCCGCCAGATGAACACGTGCCGTGCTGGCCGCAAGGATCGTGAGCGCACTCATCGTAGTTATTATAATCTATGAATAAATAATCGGTGAATAATTACTTAATTAATTAACAAATAAATAAAAAATAAACAAACAAAAATTATTAATAAATAAATATAAATAAATGAATAAACAAATAAATAAATAAATAAATAACGATTAGGCCGGCCTTAATTGATATTCACAGACATAATCGGTTGTACATATTTCCTTCAAGCGCGTGCGGGCGCGTGGTTATTCACGGCATGGCGATATTAGCCAAAAACCTATAGTCAATTTAATACAATACATCCGTAATTTAACCAGATAGGCCTATATTTTGTCAATATATTTGTAATGTGTTTTTACGTGGTCATAACGTGTCGCATACGAGGTAGCGTTGTGTTTTCTCTGCTGTTCTGCAACTAAAGAATATTATTTCCTTACCTCGTGAAAACTAGTGAATCTTCCGTCATCACCTACCACACAAACTCGTAATCACTGCAGAAACCCAATATACTCCGACGAGTTATGTTATCTTAGCCTCCATTTCATCATCTTAGCTTATCTTATCTTATCTTTTATATCATTGCTCTCATTTACGCGCCGCACATTACGTTGTGTGAAAAGCAATTGTTACAAGAATTACAATAAAAATAATTAAATAATTAATTGTTTATTTTTTTAATTGTCAAATATTTGTTGGATGAATTACGAATAAACTTTTCTAAACGTAAACTTACGTGCTTTCTGTTGGCAGTGAGCTCCCTGGTAGCCCGGCGGACAGATGCACTTTCTCAGTGGTCGACCCCAGCTAACGAATGCCTCACATATTCCACCATTGTAGCACGGGTTGGGCAAGCAGGCTTCCTCGTAGTTTGGTCCGTGGCGGGCGCTGCTCGAGTGACTAAACGAACGTGCAAAAGACGACGTGTACCGGAATGTTCTCCTCGTTCGTTAATACTCTGTCATTAGTTGTTATATTACGTTTCCCGATCCGGAATCGATTCAGTTTATCGACATGTCACGATTTAATCGTGATCATGACGTTTAATGACTCGTGGTTTATCGTATTTTAATTAATTATTTTTTTGTTTTCGCTCACGATTGCCCTCGTTGCCTGTTGCGCACTTTACTGATATGATGAAAGGCGAGGAACAGGTTAACAGTACTGGTTGCTGTAGTGGGGCGTGCTCTGAGTGGCGGAAATTTGATCGGATATCGTGTCAGGGATTTGTGCATTGATTAATTTATGGAGAGGTTTTTTTTACATCAGATAATACACCTCATCGTAACAAATCGCAGTCGAAATATATGAGCAGTGAATACATATTAGGGCAACTGATGTAAGGAGAAGTAAATGTTGGTAAGTATAACCGATCCGATGTCAGTAACTGAACGCGTTTACGCACAAGAACCTACCTTTGCTCACAGTGGAGACCGTAGTAGCCGTAAGGACATAGGCATTTTCTCACGGCTACGTCATGTTTGATAGCAGCGTGACAGCGTCCGCCATTTTCGCACGGATTCGGATAACAGAGGTCGTCATCAGAGCCGTAACCACCGCCTTCGTGGTGTGCGCCGTGCTCTTCCACGGGGTACGTTTGCGGGTAGGTTGCCGGGCTGAGATTGTGTCCACGGTATCCGCCGTAGATAGCCACTTGCGTGTTGCCTGGATAGTTGTTGCTCCCGACTGTTCCGTAAGTCAGGCCTATATTAGCAACGTGCGCACCGGGACGGTTGTGCGTGTTATGTGTGCCTGCCGTGGAGTAGTATGGCGAGGGTTGGCTTGATGAATATGTACCGGTATGGCTCGGGGCGTAGTAGTGTCCGCTATTTGTGTGAGCGTCCGTTGGCTTGTAGTAACCAGTGTTCGTTTGGCTATATACGCCTGGTGCGTAGTAGCCGTCAGATTTATCGGCATGTCCGCCTGGTGCGTAGTAGCCGTCAGATTTATCGGCATGTTCGCCTGGTGCGTAGTAACCGTCAGATTTATCGGCATGTTCGCCTGGTGCGTAGTAGCCGTCAGATTTATCGGTATGTCCGCCTGGTGCGTAGTAACCGTCGGATTTATCGACATGTCCGCCTGGTGCATAGTAGCCGTCGGATTTATCAGTATGTCCGCCTGGTGCGTAGTAACCGTCGGATTTATCGACATGTCCGCCTGGTGCGTAGTAGCCATCACTACTGCCATGGTCGGTATAAGTTTTGTCATGGGGTGAATAGTATTCCCCTCCTCCAGAGCCGTAGGATCCTCCAATTTCGCAATATAAGCCTGAGTAGCCATGTTGGCATTCACAGCGTCCTCTCGCCTAATGTGTAGAACGAGACAGTTAGCTATATAGGATCGGACAGTTTCTATTATTTTGGAGAATAATACCGAGTAATACCTATATATGAAAAGGGTATGCAAGTTAAAACGCGTATATTATATTTATTCGTGAAATCTTTATAATACTGCAATAAAAGTTTGCGATGAAATATTATTAGAATCAATTTTAATAAACACACCTCGTTGTATTCTGTGAAGACTACGCAAACCCCACTATTCCTGCAAGGGTTTGGGTAGCAAGGTGCGCCTGTGTGTAAAATATACTAGTTAATGCACAGTATTTAGTTATAAATATACAAAACATCTCGTTTTATATAGTTAATTACGAAGGCACTATCAAATGCAATGTTTGTATATTGAGTTTTCTTTATTTACCTATCATAAATGATTCTTAAAGAGATTTTATTAAGTAATTATTTACTCACTGTGTAGCGATACAGCTCGGGCAGAATTAAGTGATGTTGTAAACAATACGAATATCTACTACTATTTACAGATAAAGTAAACGTTGTATCACGGATCAACTGATGGTGCGTTTCGCCGAGCGGGACGCGTAGAAACGCAGCTGGTAATATCAGACACTCTATAGTCTCACTCTCTACACTCTGTGAGACATCATATAGTCTCATAATATATGGTCATATTATAAACACTCTATTATGCGTCACTATAATTATGACTCTCCTGGTAATATTTACCGGCGATGATTTTAAGCGGTGAGTAATCCGCGGGACCAGTAGCGGCAGATGCGAGCGAAAGCACGCCGGGTATAAAATCGGGCGGTGCCGCCAGGG